ATTCTACTATAAGTCCTTCATCACCTCACACGAAATAGGGTGAATACATCTCAATACACTGATTTACTGGTAGTCTCGAAACCCCACTCACATTTCTATTCCTTAGCCCAGGCAAAAGTGGTTAGTTCTCCTAGGACCATAAGGCTCGCATCTATCCAACATCGTGACCTTGCGAGTCATATCTTCCTTCTAGGAACTCTACATTTCCTCAGCAACACTTTTACCCTGCTTCCTCATTCTTAATCTTACGATAGCCCATTACACGTTTGGCAAGCACCACCAAATCAGCATTCCAGATACTTCCAATTTATACTTACATGTCTTATCTTATTATATCTGATTATAACAATTCCATTATAAAATATTATCACAGTTATTATTTTTTTTATTCTCTAATTTTTCACTTCTAGATATCTTTGCCAGAATTGTTACACCACTAGCCCAACTGCCCCGCATGCCACTCACTCTGACGTCGCCACGCCTCTCCTCCCAACAGGTCCCTCTTCAAAAACTCTAGCTGATGATGGTGATGCGTCAACTTTTGGTCCTCCCATTGTTTCTAGCTCTCCCACATCTCATTTTAAATCTGTTTACCCCGTGGTCTGGTTGTGCCTAAGTGACTCTACCGGTCGTCTTACTGTGCAAGCCGAGGGACTTCCAGTTTTACATCTGCTTGAAGCCGCTGTGCGACAATCTACGTTAATTGCTGGCTCTGTCGTCCCCGCAACACCAGCAACTATTTCTATACCTCCAGTATCTCCTCCCAAACAGTTGCTTGTTGATAAATCTTCTCATGGTGTTAGTTTAGAAACTATCGAGGAAGAAGGAAGTCATAAAAACGAAAATCGTAATGAAACTGAACGAGGTAGACCTATACTTTCTTACCCATTTGTCCATTTCTTTCTTCTGCATTTAATTCTTATAACACTTTTTCCTGATCTACCTTCTTCCAGTGATTGTCTACTCTATTTATGTTGTCACTATGGTCCATTTTGAATACAGCTCATATTATTGAGTCTAAAGGTTTGTAGATACGAAGAGAAAGTTGGTTTCGATTAATCTTCTGAGATAACATTGTTAGAGGAAACTTCATTTCGAATGAAAGTGGATTAGAGAAGAGATTCGTTGGTCGATCTTACCAGCTGAGGACGGATGAAACTCGTAGTACTTCAGCCGTTTTGCTTTTATACGATATTCATGTTGACGCAATCCACGAGACTTCCTCTCTCGTTTTGGGTGAAAACGTGCTGAGCTTTCGTCCATCATTCGATGGACATCATCAGAGCTGGGTGTCATTCTTCTAAAAGTCTCACGGTAACACTAAAGCAAGAACACTATCCTGCTCAATCTTACTTCTTATATAGACTCAATCGAGCTAAAAAATTGAAAACCTAGATAGATCAATATAGAGTG